TTACAAAATCAGCAGCGACAATCTTAGATCAGCCAACGATCTAAGATTATCGTAAGGGGAAAATAGCGGGAAAACATTGTGTAGTGTGAACTACTGCATCAGGTAGTCGGATGTGTCCGTCTTCTCTATTTAAATCTACTGATTACTGAAGGGCAATACAGTATACAGACTTCATAATCTGCACTCTTTTGGTTGAATGCCGTATTTATTTCCACTTTGGCTTCATGTTTAGTTTTTTCATTCAAGTACGTTTTTTGTTAATTCATTAACACTGGAACTGATTTACTTTATCAGTTCCAGTGTTATATGTTCTTTTTAAAATTAAGTGCATCTATCCATGGCAGGAAATCGCTGCATTATTAGTCATTTCCATTAAATCAGTGTCAAAAGGTCTTGATTGCGTTTATCGCAATAATTTTTTTAGACAATTAATCGTCCAGTAAAATTTGTTATCGTGACAGGCCTAATTGCGACTGGCTTGGTTACCACAGTAAGAAAAACATGTTTGATTGTATTGATAATGTTTTTCATTGTGTTTGGCGTTAATGCAGGACTGCCCATTGTTTCTGCAAATGGAGGAAAGAACTACAATCGCATAAGTGGAGCTTGTTGCTGAATATTCAGCCAAACAGAATCACAATCAGCTGAACCAATACTAGAAAATAAAAGACGGGGCAACGCTGCAGCCTCTCTCTTCCTTTAGTCCCGTCCTTTCTGTCTCGCCACCTTGACCTGCCTCTGCTGTGCAGTCCGAGCAGCGGGGTCCTCGTCCCTCGCCGCAGGCCTCGGGCCCTCCCATCGGTGGCCCGCTCCGGCCGTTTGCTGGTGTCTGATGGCGCGGTGGGATGCTAAGGGCAGCTGCGGGAGACTGTGATGTCAGAGCCCAACAGCCCGGGCGAGAGCCAGTGTGGCGCTCCCAGATTCTTCGTGGGCTGCGAGGACGATGAGAGCGAGGTGCAGGAGGACAGCATGAGGACAGACATGGACCTGTATGAGGACGACGAAGACACGGTGAGCATCTTGCTTCTGATTATTAGTGTTTTCTGTATTTAAAATCACGACATTCAGTTTGCTTTATTTGTCCCCAAGGGGCAATTTCAAGGTACAGACTCAAAACTGAATTCATAAAATTCACACATGCTAATAAATGTAAGTAGATACTAATGAGGTCAGTAATTATGCAGCCTAAGTGCTGCAATGGGCACCAAAAACACCTAATCCTAAAAAGTTTTCTTTTCTAGTCTCTGGTGCAAATATCTCCATACAGTTGAAATGAGACAAAACTAACTTAAAAGTAAATTTTCTGCAAGACATAGATTATTATTTTCGTAAATCATTTCTTTATATTTATGAAAAATTACTAGTTCATTTGGAGGTTATTTCACTTATAATATGGAAAAAGTTTCTTGTTATAAATGAAATAATCTGCCAGTGGAACGAGCAATTATTCATCAATATAAAGAAATTGTTGACTTAAAACAAGCTCCTGTGTCTTGCAGAAAGGTTTGGAAAAAAACAAAACATCTTGAGCCTAAAGAAAATTAATCTAAAAAGAAAATTTTGAGGTTTTTCTTCAGTAATTTTTTTTCATATTTTTTATTTTTTTCCCCCAGTTTCAGATTATTATTATTATTCTTTTACTTCATGGCTCCAGGTTTAGCTCCGTTTAAAGACGCTGTAAAAGGCTATGAATTTTGTTCAAAGACTGTGAAACTGAAAAAAGTTCAAAACTTATTTCAGGGATTTAACTAGAACCGTATGCTTGGGCTGGAGGAGATTTGGATTTTATTTTCAGCTGCAGACGCCCGACTAGGAGGTGGCTGCAGCGTAAAACAAAAGACGATCATGCGGAAAAGCCTCATATCTGTTTTTCTTCTGGAAGCCTGTTAACTGAATAATGTCATTGCTTCTGCCAGAAAACTGAAAATGGGTCACTGCTTTTTATTGTTTTCTGCACTGAATAAATGTCTTCTATTTGCAGGTTTGATATTTCTAATTATTTTTATTTTGAGAACAATATGCTACTGCAATAATAATACTTTGAAAGCTGAGGCCTCTAAGTTCTGAGTGATTTGTCCGATTGATCTGTTTCCGTCCCGTTCAGCCCCCGGAGCGACAGATCGTGGTGGGCATCTGCTGCATGATGAAGAAGTCCAAGTCCAAGCCAATGACCCAGATTCTGGAGAGGCTGTGCCGGTTCGAGTACATCACCGTGGTCATCTTCCCAGAGGACACCATCCTCAACGAGCCTGTGGACAAATGGCCGCTGTGTGACTGCCTCATCTCCTTCCACTCCAAAGGTGCCTCCCCTCCCACCACAGTGCATGCACACTGACAAAATGGCCGACATGCAAATCATGCATATTTAATCTGCAGTGTCTTTCCAATCATTTTCTGCTGACATTTTTCTGAATGCTTCTGTTTCCCCTTTGGACGCAAGCAATTAATCAACTTATGATTAACTATCAATTTGAAATTAATTCCAGTCGATTAACTAATAACGTCCGTGTAGTCCTCCTGTTAGTGTTGTAGTGTGGTTGTTGTCCAGCAGAGGGAGCTGCTGGTCATCCTTAAAGGAGGCATTTGAATGAAGGTGGCGGCCATATTGGAACGTAAAAGAGAAACAATCCAAACAGAATCTGACGTGGGATGAAACATTCACTCTATGCAGCTCCTGTTAGAAATATAAACATTGACAAGTTCATTAAGTTAAGTTTTCATTTTAATAGCGCTTTATTCAGCTTAGCATTAACATAAGATCTGCTGATGGGGAAAGCTGTAGCAAGGGCGGAGTGGAGAGGGAACAAGCAGCGCCACACAAGATGGTGATTGACTAAGACCTGCCTCCTCACTCTGATTGGTTGTTTCTAGTTAGCAGATGCAGAGGAGCTAAATTTTTTCATAGATTATCGGTCTCATACCATACTAACAGTTTCTGCAAATACGTAAAAGAATATATTTTTTTACATAAGTTATACTGCAGCTTTAATCGATAAGTTTCCCCATATTAAAGGTTTAAAAGTGTCTTTCTTTTCGTAGGATTCCCTCTGGACAAGGCGGTGAGCTACGCCACTCTGAGGAGCCCTCTACTCATCAACGACCTGAACATGCAGTACTATATTCAGGACAGGTGCATCCACCTCACCCTTCCAGTCTCCAACAAATTAAACATCTATTGATGTCTTTTATTTATCATCAGGGTTTTTTTTGTGTTTTCCAGGAGAGAAGTGTATCGGATCCTGCAGGAGGAGGGGATCGAGCTGCCACGCTATGCTGTGCTGAACCGCGACCCAGATAAACCAGAAGGTCAGCCTCATGTTCCTCTGTGCTCTGAACTTATTGTATCAGGCTTCATTTATTCAGCCGGGTTCTGGTTCTGTGGCAGCTATGGGATAAATATAGTGCTGGATGTTCTGCAGGGAAGAGTTTCCCTCATTAGGTTCTGTGACATAAAGGTTCTGGCACTCGGATCAGATGTTTTACGTGTTTAGGAGAGCTTCTTCTCAGGCCTCAGCAGTGAACGCCGCAGGGTCGACGTTTCCTGTGTGTCTTCGGCTTCACAATAAATCAATAACTATATTGATCACGATAGCTAACACCTATAGAATATTCTCTCACTGCTACGTAAGCTAGGTTGTTGGAATCAACTAACTCACTGACTCTTTGGTTACCTAGCAACAACTTGTTGGATAAGGGGGTTTAAAGTTCCCCGCCCCAACTTTGGTTGCCTAGCGACAACCTGCTGCATAGCTTGCACAGGTTTCCCTATAGTGGCTCATGAAAATAAAAATAAAAGTAGATTTTCTTTTTCTGTTTCTACTGAAAATTGGAAAACAAAGTCTTCAGTCTTCTGCTTTGTCCTCATCCAGCCACTTTTTTTAAAGGACAATTTTGTTTAGAGAGACTTTATAATTAATTTTGTTTGCTTATTTTGGATAATTAAAATGTCTTCCAGTTCCGAGTGTTTTTACATTATTATGTTATTACCATTATATTACTTGAAAACGGTCTCAAAACAACAATATTATCATTTATCACAATAACTTCTGGGACAATTCATCGTCCAGCAACATTTGTTTTTGTGATGGGCCTAATCGTGAAAAGTTTTTCAGCCATATCGTCCAGCCCAATGTGTGTGTGTGTGTGTGTGTGTGTGTGTGTGTGTGTGTGTGTGTGCGCGTGTGTGTGTTCAGAGTGTAACCTGGTGGAAGGGGAGGACCATGTGGAGGTGAACGGGGAAATCTTCCAGAAACCTTTTGTGGAGAAGCCTGTTTGTGCTGAGGACCACAACGTCTACATCTACTACCCCACGACAGCAGGCGGCGGCAGCCAGAGACTCTTCAGAAAGGTCGTGACCTCCACACTCCTGACTCGTTCAGTGATTCAGATTAGTCCGACCAAACATTCACATTTCCTTATCATACACAGGGTTCCTGTGTGACTTTTAATTAAGTGTTTTCAAGATCAAGAATTAACTACCTTTTATTGTTTTTATTATTCTTTTATATTTTTGAATTAATTAAATAAAATTTTAAACTATGTAAAATATTTAGCTTTACTAATATCTTATAATCAGTAACTAAATATATAGTTATTTTAAACGTATATTTTAAATACATTTTAAAAATAAATAAAATAAATAAATTATATAGAAGAAGAGGAATAAAAATTTAGAGCTGAAATATTTAGATTTTTTTTGTGATTAATTGGTTAGTGACAGAGTCAAAAAAGCCCATTTCGTAAAAAAAAGTAAAAAAAAAAAAAGACGTATTCAGATCAGTAACTGAGCCAAACTGTACAAAAAAAAGTTCCTTTAATTGAAATGCGTCCAACAATGAGGAGAGATTAAAGAAAACAGACTCTTAAAAATGCAACAAGCTGATCAGGAGTCAGAAAAAGTTTCTTCTCTCTATCTTAGACTTTATTTCCACACATTTTCCAGTCAGGAAATTCAAAATATTTCAAAATAAGAGCACACTTAACGCTTTTATGTTATGTTTTTTTTTTTGTCATCATCTGGACCCTGGCTGCAATTGTAGCTTTCAGCTTTATTTTTTTGTTTTTTACAAATTAATGCAAGTTTTTACATTTTAGTTAAACCTGCGTCTCAGTTTCTAAAAGAAGTTGTGTGAAAAGAGAAGAAGAAGAACCTAAGTTGGTCTCTGCTCTGTGCAGATCGGGAGCCGGAGCAGCGTCTACTCTCCAGAGAGCAGCGTGAGGAAGACCGGCTCCTACATTTATGAAGAGTTCATGCCAACTGACGGCACGGATGTCAAGGTTTGGGCAGAACACGCTGAGATACCTCAGCTTGGTACAGTTATCGTGTTTTCATGTCATATAAACATAGATTACTCACACTCACACCCAGTCCATTTAATCATTTAGAAACAAACAAAAGGCCTTAAAATGAGTAAAATGGAGCCAGTCCAAGGAAGCTGTCAGGAGTGGAGCTGCAGCAGAGCAGAGGCTGGCTCTGCAGCACGTGTTTCACATGGAACGTCATGATAATGGCCGACATGTTTCTCTCTGTGAATAACCAGACTTCTGCAGTCCAGGCCAGAAGTTTGCATTTACTCATCTGATCCAGAAAAATCAGATGAATTAAAAGTTTTTAATAATTTAATGGATTATTCAGTTTGGACGTCGAACTTCCCACTCTGGAAGTCTGAGAATTTTTCAGACATGGACTTTGAGATCCAATATGGCCGCTCCTCGCATCAGCAATAGCGAGCTAAGGTGGAAACTAGGGCTGAAGCAATTAATCATGATTAATTGACTATTGAAATATTCATCAACTAATTTAGTAATTGTTAACAGGAATACGAGACATAGGGTCTCGTATACAGACTACACAAAAATATGTATGCATATGTAGAAAGTTCTTTCTCAGAACTTCATAAGCGGTCGTTTTAACTTCACCTGGTTTAAATTCTGTAAGAAAAACAAATCTCTCTCTTATCTTTTGCATTCAGTTATTAATTGGTTTTGCGCTTAGATTTCTCTTCACATTTGTGTTTGAATCACAGATTACAGCTAATTTGTAATGTTTTTATGTATTCACATGGTGGGACTTGAGGATTTCTAATCGTAGGCCCTGTTGCCACCTGCCAGTAACATATCAACTACTCTCAAACTCACAACAGAACCTCTGCTTCTGCACATGTAAACATTTGATTTTCATGAGTTTTGCAGCAGACAAACGGGTCTAAGTTTACTGGTTGAGACTTGGAGCTCTGATGTAACAGAACTGCTGGTTTGTGTCGGACTGCAGGTGTACACCGTCGGGCCGGACTACGCCCACGCCGAGGCCCGGAAGTCTCCTGCGCTGGACGGGAAGGTGGAGCGCGACAGCGAGGGGAAGGAGGTCCGATACCCCGTCATGCTGTCGGCCATGGAGAAACTGGTGGCCCGGAAAGTCTGCTTGGCGTTCAAGGTACTCCAGCCACCACCAGGGTGTTTACTCCGTCATATCTGTGTTGGTGCTGAAATGGTTTATTGTGATTAATCAATTCTTGAAATGATTACCAACTAATTTAGTAGAACAACATAATCAGAACAGTAATTAAGCTAAAGCTGTTGAACATTCATGCATTTTGCATTTAAGATAAAAAAACAATGCTTTTGTCTGTAAATATGTTTTGCATATGTTAGGGATGCAACAATTAATCGCATTACTTGTGATTAATTGATTCTTGAAACAGTTGTCAACTAATTTAATAATCAACTAATTATTAACTGGAGTATAAAAGCTCTAAAAATTGTATTGAAAGAACTGCGTCATCAGAGCAAATTAAAACCAAAACTGTACAAATAATATATATATTTTGCATATTAGACATAAAACCTTTGTAAATATGTTCCTAAATGTTAAGGACGAAATGATTAATCGCGTTACTCGTGATTAATCAATTCTTGAAATAAGTGTCAACAAATTTAGTTATCGATTAATCGTTTACTGGAGTATAGACTCAAAAAAATGCCATTTACTGAAAGAACAACACAGTCAGAGCAGTAATTAAGCCAGAACTGTACAAATACGTATACATCTTGGATTTAAGATTAAACAAACCTTTGTCTGTAAATGAATCCTTTCCTACAGATAATTGAGCGTACACTAAAGGAATGCTGTTATTGGATTTTAACAATAGGACATTTATTTTGATGTTTAAAAAATGAATTAATTTGTTTATTTGTATTTTCTTAATATATTTTTAATATTGTACAGAAAAACTCCAATGGTTAAATGAAAACTCTGCAGTTTGCTTATTTTGTTTCCCATCTGATTAATCAACTAATCATCAAAATCATTGATTACTAAGATAATCATTAGTTTCAGCCCTAGTCTGTGTTTACTCCTGTTCTTCCACCGCAGCAAACGGTGTGCGGCTTCGACCTGCTCCGAGCCAACGGACACTCCTACGTTTGTGACGTGAACGGCTTCAGCTTCGTCAAGAACTCGATGAAATACTACGACGACTGCGCCAAGATCCTCGGGTACCGGCTTTTCTTTCTCACCTGCCTTTTTCAACGTTTCTGAGAGTTTGTTTGAGCTGTTGGTGTTGATGAAATGTCTCAGGAACATCGTGATGCGAGAGCTGGCGCCTCAGTTCCAGATTCCCTGGTCGATCCCAACGGAGGCAGAGGACATCCCGATTGTTCCCACCACTTCAGGAACCATGTAAGATCCAGTTAATGGGCTCACCTCATCACTAGCTACGTTTCCTTTGGTCTTAAAACTGTGCAAATTGGAATTACAAAAATACATTTCCTTAATGGAAACATGTCGGTTTTGAAAAAGCAAAATATTTGTTTTCCAGCAGCTTATTTGTTGGCACTGGCCTCCTTGTACATCAGAGGCCTGACAGCATCGCAAAGCTCATCAAAGTTGAGTTTCTCATTGGAAAGTGTTGAATCCGTGGCTGTAAAGATTAAAAAAGAATTGCATACTAAAATGTTCCCAAAAGGCTGCAAACAAAAGTAACTTCTCCCAAATATAAAAGGCGTGTCGTCCCAACGCCTGAAGAGGACGCTGACGTCTCGTCTGACAGCTACAGCTGCATAGTAGAGAGGAGAGAAAAATTCTCCCAAAAGGTTCAGGAATTTTGAAATTGATCTCAGAAATTTTATAGAAAAAACATGAACATTTCTGAGATCCAAAAGTTGAAAATTCACAAGAAAAAATCTCAGAAATTTTAAGATGTGTTAAACTTTCTAGATCAATATCTGAAATTTTCTGAGCTCGTAAAGTTGAAAATTTTTCACTTGAAACTTTCCAGAAAAATATTTTGCAAATTTTAGATTTTTGGATTCAGGAAATTCCTGCGTTTTTTTTTCTTGTTTTGTTTTATTATTATTATTATTATTAATTTTTTTTTCTTTTTTTTTTTTTTTAGAAATTTCTTAGTTTATTCTAAAAATTCCAGAGTTTTGTTTTCTATGTACAGTGGCCATAATATGTCTTCATAGATTATTTATGATGATCGCCGGCATTATAATGTTCGCATTCGTTGGCACCATAATTTTTAATCACTTATCATGTGAACAAGTTTATTCGTGTCTTTTATTTAAGGGGAACACCAAAATTGGGAAATTGTGTATTTTTGAAAAAGGTTTTGCACCAATGGAAACGTAGCTTCTGTGGCTTAAATGTTCTCATTAATTTACTCTGAACTGGCCAGGATGGAGCTGCGCAGTGTCATCGCCGTCATCCGTCATGGAGACAGAACGCCCAAACAGAAGATGAAGATGGAAGTTCGCAACCCCATGTGAGTTCTTCCCTCTGCAGCCCGATTACTAAACCCCACATTGGAAGACCAACCGTTCATTTGTTTCCCTTCAGGTTCTTTGATCTGTTTGAAAAATACGAAGGATACAAAACCGGGAAGTTGAAACTCAAAAGGCCGAAACAGCTGCAGGTGAAACAGTCGATCCTGACGTCTGAGGAGCAGAAATGTCAGCGCTGGCCGCTCCTCTGACGCTTTCTCCCTCTGACCGTCTCACAGGAGGTGCTGGACATCACCCGGCAGCTGCTGATTGAACTGGGGCAGCGCAACGACTGCGAGATCGAAGAGAAGAAGTCCAAACTGGAGCAGCTGAAGACCGTTTTAGAAATGTAGGTGAAGAAAGTCTGATGATTGACCTCATTTCCCTGGAAGCTCCTGAAAATGGCAACTTCTTACCGGGTTATTAAAAGCACAAGCATGGCCGCAGCCTGTGATAAATTAGCTTTTGTTGGACGTTTTTGTTCTCCTCCAACTTCCTTAAAAGCTCGTTTCTCAGTTTTCTCACTGTTTATAAAATAAACGTCTGCTGAGAAAAGAGTGGAAGCAGACCTATGAGGTCATAGCAGCGATTCATCAGAAAGCTCTGGACTTTCTGTTGTGATTGAAACCAATCCGTCTTTACAAGGCTGCAGTTCTGATAAGCCTGCAGTGAGTTCAGTTACAGACGGTACACGACGTGATGTAAAAATTACTTATTACACTTCCTTCAACAGGTTAGAATAGATATATGGCCTATACAAAACATGTTCATTCAATTTTTTTCAACAAAATCATCCTTAGATAATCAGTTTTTTAGCTGTTTTAGGGCATCTTGTCACTTTAAATCCAAATAATTTGCTGCTGGCCACTTCCCCCACCTCAACGTTTACACTCGCACCTGAAAATGGCTTCAAGCAGATGCGTAATTATACAACCGTACATCTTTGAAAAGCATTAGTAGAGCCTCCTACACAACCAACAGGAATGCAGCAAGTGGTTTCTGGATGGTGAGTCAAAGACAAAAGCTGGCCAATCCTGCTGGATTCCGCTTTGGTTGCTAGGTAACAGAGCTTTGCTCAGCTAGGGTTGCTAGGTAACGGCGCAGCGACCCTGGAATGTGACATAACAATGAACTCAATTTAAAAATACTTTATTTATCTCAAAAGGGAAATTAAATGGCTTGTTTCCAGACACGGCAAAACATTAACTGATTGCCAAATATTTATTGTCAAAACGAAGCTTATAAAGAAGAAAACATATGCATAAACCAGCCAAATTATGAAAAAAACCTGAGATTTATAGTTCAGAAAATATGGTATGTTAAAGGAAAGCGGAAGGAAAATCTGCAGTAGAAAAAGGTGCATAAGCCACAAACGACAGAGATGACACCAGCAGGTTGACCACTACTGGTGGAAACAGAGACTCAAAAGTTACAGTTTTAACATTTCTGCACTTAAAATAATTTTTACTGGTCTGACTTACAGTTTTAATGTTGATTAGCTATGATTGTAAAATCAAAACTGCTTGAGAAACTTTGGAAGTAATTTTATTTTTTGATCTTTTTCTGGTTCTAAAGGTACGGTCACTTCTCTGGGATCAACAGGAAAGTGCAGCTGACTTACTTGCCCCATGGGCAGCCGAAAACCTCCAGTGAAGACGAAGGTTCACACATTTTATTTGTTCATTTATTTAAACCTGCAGTTTGCTACTTTTATAAGGAATATGATTTTACATATTTGGTGAAACTGTCACCATGTCGTGACAGAATTGTATGAGACAGATGATCTGTGAACAAATCGAGCTTCTCCGCCTTGTCCCAGTGCTAACCAGAAACAACCAATCAGAGCCAGGAGGCGGGTCTTAGCGCTGTCAATCATGTCCGTGAATGCTAAGGCTAGTTAGAATAGCCATGGATTATGGTGGATAACAGTATGCCTGTAGTGGTGAGTTGTTTCTCCATCGTTAGCCCAGTTGGTAGCATGTTCACAAGGTTGATTGACAGCACTAAGACCCGCCTCCTGACTCTGATTGGATGTTGACTGCAACCATAGCTCATGGTGGAGGTGAAGGAGATTTTGTTTTTTCACAGGTGATCTGTCTCATATTAAACTGGCACAGCATGGTGACAGTTTTAACAAATAAACATTTTTTAAATAAAAGTTACATCCTGCAGCTTTAAGGTTTATGTTCATATTGGTTTTTAATTTTCCTGGTTCGATCCATTTCAGACACGCGTAAGGAAGGCCAGTCCCTGCTGCTGGTGCTGAAGTGGGGAGGAGAGCTGACTCCTGCTGGCCGGGTGCAGGCGGAGGAGCTGGGCAGAGCCTTTCGCTGCATGTACCCTGGAGGTCAAGGTGAGAATTACTAAAATCATCAGAATAGAATTTATCAAGCTCCCTTTGATCTGTCGTACGATTGATTGATTAATCGCTTACTCCAGCAGGCCTGCAGATGTTTGTTTTGGTTGCCACACCACTCAGATTTTTATTTCACTGGGATTTCTTTCCACCTCTTTGTTTTCTGTTGGTTCATCACAGAAGTTCCCAATAAAATCCCCTGAAGAAACAAAATGTGAAATGGCTCATTGTGTTTAGAAAGCAGCATCCATGTTTGTTGACGCCATTTTTGCTGGTTTGATGTAGGAGACTATGCTGGATTTCCGGGCTGCGGGTTGCTACGGTTACACAGCACCTACAGACACGACCTGAAGATCTACGCGTCAGACGAAGGCCGGGTGCAGATGACGGCGGCTTCCTTCGCAAAGGTATTCTGTGATATTCAGCAAATGATCACGTTAATGATGAACCAGCAATAAGCGGAAAATTATCAGGTTTTATTTACTGTGTGTTTTTCTGGGTCTGGAAAAATATTTGAGTTTCCACCATTTTACAAATTGAATTTAACGTTTTAACCTCTAGTTGTTCAGTTGGTGCCTGAGATCCATCTAAAGCTAAATGTTCACTCAGATTTCACAGCTCCTTCTGGTTTCCAGACGATTGGAAGCAGGATTGATATTAATCTGCAGATCTTGATGTTCCAGCACCGCGTCAAGATCTGCAGATTTCCAGAACTTTTCTGGTTTTAATTAAATCCTCCTGACTAATTTTCCTTAGGAACACAAAACAAGTCGTGTTCATATGAGTCGGTTCCCTTTGTAAAGTCTTTTTGATTTTTTTCTACTTCTGTATTGTTAAATATAATTGATTTGAGTTTTATTTGTTTTCTCATTTCAATCAGTTCTACGGAAGAGAATTAGGGCCAATGAAAGAAAAAATATATATTTTGAGATTAATCTCAGAATTCTGACTTTCAGAGGATTAAAATCACAATCCTGAGAAAAAGTCAAAATTTAGAGAAAGAAAGTTAGGATTCTGAATTTAAAGTCAGAATTTTGATTTTTATTTTTCCCAAATCTGCTGCCTTAGTGAACCTGAAATTTCCTCCACCAAATGTAGAGAAATGCTCTGAAAAACACAGAATCATTGATCATTCCTGTTTCGGGAGTTGGCCGGAGAAGAGTGTGGGTCCAACTTCAAGCATTTGTGTTTAGCATGTGGCACCATTTAAATGTTTCATTTGTATTTTTTAGAAGCAGAATGAAGTTTTGCAGATCCCAAACAGTTTAAGCTGGACAGGTTCAGAGATCCAGTCCAGAAAGATGTTTTCCACTCATTTTAGAAACATTGTCAGAAATAGACAGATTTGGTGTGTGTGTGCGTGTGTGTGTGTGAGCAGGGCCTGCTGGCTCTGGAGGGGGAGCTGACGCCCATCCTGGTGCAGATGGTGAAGAGCGCCAACATGAACGGGCTGCTGGACAGCGACAGCGACTCGCTGAGCAGCTGCCAGCACCGCGTCAAGGCCCGGCTGCACGAGATCCTGCAGCGGGACCGCGAGTTCAACGACGAGGACTACGACCGGGTAACGAGTCCGACAACATATTTCATCACACTAACAAGTAGGAACCCGCGACAGGCTGCGTTCACGCTGGCTCCTTTGCCTTAAAGCGACCTGCATCAGGCCAGTCTGAACAACACAGATCGGATTTTTCCAAATGCGACCCAGTCCACCTGGATAAACGACATGTATCTGATCTTTTTAAATTAGACCTGTGTCTGTACGGCCAGGTCGCTATTCATCCGACCTGAACGTCATCGATACTCGACAAACGTCACTATTCTGAGTCCTGATAAGCGCAAGCGGGAAGAAAAGCAACAATCGTAGCGCACTATGATGAAGATTAAGTCGTTAATGAGCTGGCTCCTGTCATTAGCATCCATGTTTACTTCCGCAAACACTGAGCGCTTCTTCTTCTTCCTCTTCCTCTTCCTCCTCTTCCTCTTCTTCTTCCTCCTCTTCTTCATGGCGGTTGGCAAAACGCTGAGCATGATCTCTCTCTGTGTGATGTTGCTTCGCCATCTCCTGCGCATGCAGGACACGTTCAGGTCTTCTGCAGTTCACACAGGAGATCACATACAAGTTGCAAGTGGAAATGTGAACATCCACGCGAAAAAAAAAATCAGATTTCTCAAGAAAATGGTTTTGTTTCACCACTTTAAAACGAAGCATGTGCTTCTAAAGCCGACTACAGGTTCCAGCCACGACTCTGGGAAGGAAAGCAGGACTCAACACCCGTTACAGTAAAGCTATTGTGTTTCCATGTAGAGATACATATTTCTTTTATTTATTTAACTTTCATTTAAATGACCTAAAATAAGTTTGAACATATATAAATATATACATTCAACTCAATTAGTATGATTAATTTTTTTTGTTTCTATAAAGACATATTGTGATGTTTATCATTACTGCTACTCATCACAATAGAAAATGTGATACAAGTTTTATGCCGTGTTGTACATCCTTACTAATAAATGCTTTAAAGTTTCCAGCCCTGACTGAGGCGGTTTCTGTGGTTTGCTGCTTAAAGAAAACATTTTGCTCCCATGTTTCAAAGCAAAACCGTGACAGCTGCTCCACCTCAGCTCGTTATTTTTAACTCACCACGACTCCCACAAACATGACGGTTAAACCGAAGCAGAAACTTTTCAACAGGGAAATGGTCAGAGTGTGAAAAGTAGCCATGAAGAACAACCACCTCCAGAAAACAGATGCTTTCAGAGCAGAAACTGTCCGATACGGTCGACATGAATGAAGCAGGCTGAACGAGATCAAAATCTAAAGAAAACATAAAAACCCAGACATTTACATCATCTACCTGCATGAAAAAAAAAACTAAAAAATATAAACTAAGTTTATTTTATGGCTAAAGTTAAAGATTTGTATTAGTTGTGCTGATTGTTTTTTTTTCTAAGCGGTGGCCGCCAGGGGGCGCTAGAGGAGCCCCAGAAAGTTGGAGGGAAGATTAGAAAAAATTTCATCCATTAAATTTTTAAATTGTGAATTAAATTTTTTTAGGAATGTAATCTGTTTTCTAATCATTATTATAAAATATAAGTTAAAATGACTTAATGAAGATGGAGACAGAAAGAGCCTTTTTTTCCCACAGAGGAGAAATTCAGTTAATTTTTATTTTTGATCTTCGTCTTTCTGATTGTCAGATTTATCAAACTGTCTCTTCAAGCTAAACTCCTCTTTTATTCTTCCTTCCTTTTAACTTCACTTTCTTCCTGCATCCTTCTTTCTCCTCCTTTTTCCCTCCTTCTTTTCGTCCCTTTTTATTGTTCATTGTTTCCTTTTCATCCTTTTTTATATTTCTTTCTTCCTTCCTACTTTATTATTTTTCCTTCCTACGTTTTTATTTTTTCTTTCTTTGTACCCTTCCTGCCATCCTTTCTTTCTTTCTTTTCCTTTTTCCTTCCTTCTTATCCTTCCTTGCTTCATTCTTATCCGTCCTTTGTCTCCTTCCTGCCTTCCTTGCTTCCTTCCTACTCTTCATTCCCTCTTTGTTTCCCTCCTTCCTTGTGCACTTCTATCCTTTCTTTCCAGGTCTGTAATTCAGTTTGGGTTTAATTTTTTTCATACTTATAGCTAAATGACATTAAACTCTGGAGAGTCACAGAAAAAGAAGCCGTTTGGACGAAATTGGACCCGAGCATCTGTTGCTTTAAAAACCGGCAAACATGTCTGTTTAGTGAAGCGACATGTTTTGTTTTGTTTGTTTACTCGTTGCTGACGCCGCTCTGTGTTTTGTTTTGCTACAGCTGGCCCCGACTTGCGCTGCTTCTCTTCTGAATTCAATGAAAATGGTGAAGAACCCGGTGGCCACATGTGATCAGGTCTACGCGCTCATTCAGAGCCTCACCTCTCAGATCCGCACCAGAATGGAGGACCCGAAGTCTGCCGGTACAGAAACATGAAATTGACCCTTCCTGACCTGTTCGGCTACGTTTCTCCAGCTAGCAGGATGTTTTCCTCCTCTGCCTCCAGACCTGCAGCTGTACCACAGCGAGACTCTGGAGCTGATGCTGCAGCGCTGGTCCAAGCTGGAGAAGGATTTCCGCATGAAGAACGGCCGCTACGACATCAGCAAGATCCCCGACATCTACGACTGCGTGAAGTACGACGTCATTCACAACGCCACGCTCGGCCTGCGGGACACGCAGGAGCTGTTCCGGCTGTCGCGAGCGCTGGCCGACATCGTCATCCCACAGGTGGGAGGACGACGAAGGAGCCTAAAGCTGCTTTTCTTATTAAATAATTAGTAATATATGAGGCCATCGGCAAATAGGTGGGGTCTGCTGTAGTACTGTGACAAAATGTTATTTAAAAATTTTTTACACATTTTTACTAGTGTGTTCAGATGCTTATGTTTCTTACGCTTTTGATTAACAATACTTAAAATGTTGGGCGCACTTATGCTAACACACTAATAGCAGGGCTAATTCTTTGTTTAACATCTTTGCTAACTTTGAAAACATTTAGAGCTCTTAGCTTCCCTTAAATTACTTTTTCTGAATCAATTCTAAAGCACTAATTTGTTTTGTAAAGTTTTGGTTGAATAAACTTTGACATCGTGGTTGAAGGTTTGTTTATCAACTGATCATAAACTGATGTTTATAATCATAAACTGATGTTTATAATCATAAACATCAGTTTATGATCATCAAGTGCTTCAGGGTTAGTGCAGCTAACGTTTCAGCTAGCGGTTCCCACCACTGGTTATTTGTATATTTAATTAGGTTTTCTTTTGTTTGGATATGTTTTTAATCTGTGGGGAAGTGTAAATATTTACTAATATGACCCATCACATTCTGGATGCGAAGTCCTGAAATGTTAATGAATTGAACCGCCTGAGTAGTTTATTTTTTGTGTGTTTTTGCAGGAATACGGCATAAATAGAGATGAGAAGCTGGACATAGCTTACGCTTACTGCCTCCCTCTGGTCAGGAAGATCCAGCTTGACCTGCAGAGGACGCACGGAGACGAGTTTGTTCACAAGCTTCATCCTCTGTAAGTTAAATTTGAATGCAAAACAGATGTTCAACAGAGAGTAAATGTAGGTAGCCATGTTTTTTTTGTACTTCCTGTTTACAGGTATTCTCGTGGCATTATGTCACCTGGTCGTCACGTCAGGACTCGGTTATATTTCACCAGTGAGAGCCATGTCCACTCCCTGCTCAGCATTTTCCGATACGGAGGCCTGCTCGACGTAAGCAAACAGTGATTCCTGCAGGTTCTGGAGTGTTTTTATGAAAAGACGTGAAGATCAGGGTGATATTTTCTCCGTTTGTGTCTGAGACAGGAGGAGAAGGACCAGCAGTGGAAACGCGCCATGGATTACCTCAACGAGGTCTCCGAACTCAACTACATGACGCAGATTGTCATCATGCTCTACGAAGACAACAACAAGGTGAGTTACTGATGCTTTATGAGACCGATCATCAGTAGAAGTTTAAATAAGTTTATAAACCACTGCTGTGTTAGATTAGCTAATAGCAGTGGCAGCTAATCTGTCACAGCGATCACTTATTAATAAACATCAAGCCTGAAAACAGAAAACTGTAAAGGACTGAATGTCCTTGTCTTTGTGTGGGAAATATTTGTGTGTTTTTTCTTGGTGTTGAATCCGGATACACTAGTGGACTTGTTGTTAGTCGGTTGCTATGGCAACGGATCTGCGTGCAGCATAACCGATGGAGAGCGGGAAAAGGGAAGGTTACGAGTGGCTTTAAATTTTTCTTCAACGGTTTTTCCCTTTGCTGTGATGCACTGCACTAAGCTAATGATACCTTCATTTTGTTAAGTTAGCAGCAACAGTTAGAATCGTCTTTTTGACCTCCAGAGTTGTGCACGTGCGTGACATTTCCAGATGTAAACAATAACATTCAGTGTGTCTGTAACAAACAGATTAAAAACTTAAATGTCTTAAACGTTGTCTGCCTGAAGGACATTTCCTCTGAGGAGCGGTTCCACGTGGAGCTCCACTTCAGCCCCGGCGTTAAGGGCGTGGATGAGGACGAGCACGCGCCGCACGGATTCGGCTTCAGACCCGCCTCAGCAGAGGTGATGCGACAGGTAAACACCATGAAGTCTAAAAACGTCCTGATGTGGAGGACATCCAGGCTCCAGCTGTGTCCGTCGTGTTCCTCAGAACGGGCAGAAAAAGGAGGAGCGCGGCAGTCTGGATGACCTGTCGCGAGACGAAACGGACCGCGCCGTTCCCGTGTCGGAGCCGATCACCATTCAGAGGCGGTCGCCGCTCATTCGCAATCACAAAACCGGATCAATGGAGGTGAGACTGAGCCCAGGAAGGAGTGGAACCACCATTTTTAGCTCTGACGGCTGTTTAGTTTTATGCTTTAGTCTGTAAACATAAAATCACATCACATTCATTTGCTTTTGAGCAAAATTGGTTTATTTTGTGCAGCTGCAGCTTTTCCTCTGTGGTTTTGATGCCACTACGTCACTCTGCCCTCTGACCCCCAGGTCCTCTCCGAATCCACCTCCTCTAAAGCCGGCAGCTACCGTCTCTTCTCCATCTCACGTCAGTCTCCAGAGATGAAACAAAGCGGCTTAGGTAGGTGGAGAAAAACAAAACAACAACAAAAAAAATCCACCTTGTTGCTACGGCAACCGCACACATCATCAGCCGGTTCCCTGTAGATTATGGTTTATGTTTGGAGGAGATGTAATAACATGTAGCGCAGGCTGTGTGTTTCCATAACATGACCTTTGAACTTTGACTGCAAGTTTAGAAGAAGAAAATGAAGAAAGTAGAACTTCAAACTGCTTCCTCTGTGGTTCAGATTTAACCTGAAATCAACAGGTACATCTCAATAAATTAGATTAACTTAACAAAAAGTTGAAAATTCAGCAAAAATGTAATTTAATTTTATAGATTAATTATAGTTATACTTTAAATGTTTGTTTAAATACTGAAATGAATGCAGAATTCACTTCAGTAAGTTGCAAAACGTTAATGCTAATGAAGCTTTGTATGAGTATGCTAAGAGTACGTTTGTTTAATTATGAGAATAATGTCGTATTATTACCCGACTGATGCTGCCTTTTACCAGAAGGTCGTCTAAAAATGACAAGAAAAAAGTTGTTTTATGGAAAAAGCTTCTAGTTATTGAGATCTAACGTGTCCAGCTAATTTCTTCAAATTATTCAGTTGTTTGCTCAGTGACTCCAGCCTTAATATAAGTAGAAAGTTGAGTGGAAGGAAAAGCTGTAATATAAAAATCCAGGTTGCTTTATGTTCGTAATGATTTGGGTTTCCATCCAGGAGCTGGCACCAACCTAACAGAACTTTTCGTCGGTACTCTAATTTATTGAGACGCACCTGTTCAGAACTTTGATTTGTCTTTTCAGGAGGAAATGCCACAGTTTGAGTTTACAGTTCTTCCAAATCATTTCTCCATGTGTATCTGTACTTCTGTGGATCATTTCGGTCTCTTTCTAGTCAGAACCATCAGAACTTTTCTGCTGCTGCAGTCTGAGCTGCCTGAAGCATCACAGATAAATATTCAGGTTTTGGTCGTTTCATCCTTCACACCGGCTCTTTCCACTGTAGTTTTTTCCTTCTCTGCCCTCTGTTTGCATGGTGATGCTAATTCTGACACATTCAAATGATAAGGGGAAAAGATAATAGTAATTTTTTAGACTGAAGGTTTTTCAAAGGGAAGGTTTTGGAAATAAAAACTTGAACTAGTCCTTAGAGGTTTAAGAATGAAGTGAATCCAAGGTGAGAAGATCACGTTGCAAATAAATCAGAAACGCTTTCGATAAATGCTCGTTATTCTTCTGAGTCACCACCAGGGGGCGAGTCTGAGTGACCCAAACGGCTGGCTATCAGATGCAGACATCAACCAAGCCACACTGTTGGAGCCAATGGGAGAATTCAACTGCAGTTACCACCGCTCAACCCATAGAGGGCAGCACTGAGATGGTTTTGTACAAAATATTGCGGAATTAAGAAAAATTTACAGAAAAATGCCACATTTGCAAAAATGGCACCCTTAAGGAATGATTTAGAGAGTTTATCCTCTCAAACCGAACCGGACTTTGCAGTCAAACGGGCTGGAATTGGATTAAAGCAGCTTAAACAGGGCTGCTGGGAATGAACCTCTCTGATATGCCAAAGCTTTCTGGAGACAAATGTAGGTAAAACCAGCTGACCAAATGTGGAGGTGCTCCGCTTGGGTTGCTAGGTGGCGGGCTGGGCTTTGCTGGGTTGTTGGGTAACAGGCTGGGGTTGCTAGGTAACAGGCTGGGGTTGCTAGGTAACGGGGTAATGCCTGATGATTTCTGGTGTTGCATTAGGAAAGATTTTTGAGATGGCTCATTTTCCAGACACCAAAAAAAAAAAAAACATTTAATTATTATTAAAGAAATGTCTGGATGAGTTTGTTTTGTTTTTTAGCGCTTGTATAGTTTTTACAAGCAGTGGAAACCAAAATGGAAATATAGGCATCAAAAATGTGAATTTTGCACCATAGGTTCTTTTTAATTTCATTCAAAGTGGCATAAAAAGGTCTTAAATTTGACTTGAAACCTGCAGATACCATGGTTCTGAAAGTTTTTGTATTAATATCTAAGGTTCTTTTGTTGTATTTGTTTCATTTGAAGATCTAATGAGGACCAAATTCGTGTTAGACAGTTTAAAAACCTCCAGTCTTTGTTTCTGTCTCTGTCTCTCTCTTGCTGGTGAGCTGTTTGAGTAACAGCTTGTTTATGTTCCGGTCACTAACCCTCGCAGGCTCTCAGTGCGCCGGACTCTTCAGCACCACCGTCCTCGGTGGCTCCTCTAGCGCCCCTAACCTGCAGGACTACGCACGTGCACACCGCAAAAAATACTCCACCGCCAGTCTGTCCTACAAAGACGGTATGTGTCTGAGACCGCCGCGCTTCCTCACCAACCTGCACAGAGGCCAGCAGTAGATCAGACACACAAGCCCCGGCTTGCAAAAATACGCCACACAGTTCATCATTAGAGCAGGAATCCACCAGGTGTGATGGACTCCCATACATGTTCATCACTTTCATTCATTTTTTTGTTTTGTGGTAGAAGGTGTCAGTTCGTTTTCATTCTCGTCACCATTTTACCCTCCTCACCTTTTTTTTAAATTTTTTTTACCCCCTCGCTGGCTGAGTTAGAAATTGGATGGAGTGTGCAAAAGACTGACTTGACATTTCCATAAACGTGACATAACCTCTGTCATCAACATGGAGGAGTCTTCATGAATGTTGTCATGAAGCCTGTCATTCGGTAATAATGACTAACAAAAAATGATAGCGCCACAAACAGAAATAATGACACCTCAGTGTAATAATGACACAAAATAATGACGAATGTTTGTGCAGCAAAAATGTTCCTTTGTGCTGCTTTTGCTTTGAAGATGTTAGGCAAAAGGGTCAACCAGCCTCCCACGTTGTCCAAATCTAATAAAAGTGGTGTCAAGTGTTTGTGCTACATTTGTGCAGTAAAAATTTTCATTTGTTCTGCTGTCATTTTAAATGTATTAATAAAAACGTTTCCAGAGGTCATCAGAGGTCAACCACTCCCCGAACTCATGTTGCAAAGTCTAACAAAACTGATGTCAAACCTTTTGACCTTTAAACTTTCTTTAACATCTTCAAGCTGCACAAAGGCAGCACAAACATTTGACACTAATTTTGTTAGATTAAGGTGGGAGGGGCACCTTCACTCGGGTATTAATGACACTTTTAAGTTGCAGTAAAAATGTGAATTAAAATGTGATTATTTACCAAACATGACAACAGTGAGTAACATTCATGAAAACTCCTTCATGCTCATGACTGGTGAAGCCACAGTTATGACAGTGCTCATGTTTTATGCACACTCCTTCAGATAAAGTAAATGTGAGGCTGGTTGATAGGTTTGACGTTTTCCTTGTAGTTGCACTGTAATATTTACAGATGAGTCCAGACTTTTTTATTAAAACGTAGGCTGATTTATTTATCCTGGTGGAGCTGCATGAAGCTGCATCGGTGAGCTTTCATTCGTCATCTCACCCTCATGTTGTCTCTCAGGTCTCTGCAGTCAGGCTGGGCGATATGGCAGGAACATTACAGCTGCACAATGTTTACAACGTCTTCAAAAAGTATTCACACCCTTACATGTTTTATCCTTTTTTATAGATCATAAAAAATCCTGATCAATAAAATATTAAAAAAAAAACACATTTAATCTCAAAGTGAAATCTGATTACTACAAAATAATGACAAGTAAAAATATGTATTAAAAATAATAAAGTCTGTGTGGATCAGTCGGTCTCATCTTTATGCTCCAGTTTTCCTCCATTCTTCCTGCTAAACTTCCAACTAAGCTCTGACAAGTCTGGGCTTTGACTAGACCATTCCATAACATCCATTTTGCTGTGTTCAAAACATCTCTGTGTAGCTTTAACTGGAAAATAAATGTCCTCAAATAAATGTCCTTGGAAGCCGTAGTTCTCAGTATTCCAGGATTCTCCTTGATTCTGCAGCTCAGAGACTTCCCCACCAGACAAGTGCTTCACACTCTTGTCTGGTGGCCAGAAAGCTCAATTTCGATTTCAGACCAAATAACTTTATTCCTCTTGACCACAGAGTCTTCTCATGTGCCTTTTGGCAAACTCTAATCTGAGTTTTCTTCAACAGTGGATTCTAATTGCCACTCTGTCGGTATTTTGTAGAAATCTACATTAAATGATTTTTTTTTTACCTTTTTTATCAGAAAAGTGAAATCTTGTTGGTCATGATTGATTTTAACAGCAGTAGAAGGGTAAAACATTCAAAAAGGTGAATACTCTTTATAGACACTGTATTTAATGCCACCATGAGAGTTAAACTTTTAAAAACAACCAGCAGTCATCAAAGCAAAGTTCCTGTTTCTTCTGTTCTGCATACTGTGCATGCACTTTGGAAGCTTATTTGCATGACTTCAGATTCAAACGCTGCAGCTTTTTCCCTCTTTTTACTGGTGAGGATGAGAAAATGTAATATATTGGTTTAGATGGGACTATGGCATTGAAAATAACTTGGATGATTTGAGGTTTTTGTTTTTTGAACCTTCTGGAGGAGTTAAAGTTTGGCACAACTGATATTTAGCAGATTCAGGAATACCTCCGTACTTTGCAGCAGGAGCTGTGTTTCCATTGACCTTCAAATTGGGATTATGAAAATAAATTTGCTTAATGGAAACACTAATCTAAAAAAAATGTTTTTGCACTGAGATGGGTTTTTAGTATCCAAGCTAGTGTATTTTGCACAATTGCAATGGAGACACTTTTTTCCACATGATCAACAACCGGAAGTTACTATTCGCAGAATTAACAAAGAAGACGACAGGAAGTGGTTGGATACAGCCTGTTTCTTATTGTCTTATTGCATAAACAACATTTTTTACAGGTGATTTTAATTGTGTCTCTTATTTAATGAAAATGCTAGATTTCGAAATCATATTTTTTTGACACCAGTGGAATATTGACAAAGTTTTGCACACAAAGTTTTGCACACCTTTCTAATGGAAACGCAGCTGTAGAAGCATCGATTGTGATTAGGGACCTTCCATTTAACTTGTGCGTGCGTGTGTACGTGTGCATGCGTGCGTGTGTGTACGTGTGCATGCGCGTGTGTGTGTGTGTGAGTGCATGCGTGTGTGTGCGTGCGTGCGTGCGTGTGTGTGCGTGCGTGCGTGTGTGTGCGTGTGTGCCTGCGTGTGTGCGTGCGTGTGTGTGCGTGTGCATGCGTGTGTGCGTGCGTGTGTGTGTGCGTGCGTGTGTGCGTGCGTGCGTGCGTGTGTGTGTGCGTGTGTGTGTGTGTGCGTGTGTGCGTGCGTGCGTGTGTGTGTGGGCGTGCGTGTGTGCATGTGTGCGTGTGTGCGTGTTTGTGTGCGTGTGTGCATGCGTGCGTGTGTGTGCGTGTGTGCATGCGTGCGTGTGTGTGTGTGTGGGCGTGCGTGCGTGGGTGTGTGTGTTTGTGTGCGGGTGTGCGTGTGTTTGTGTGTGCAGATATCCAACCAGGTAGCTTTGGAAATCTGGTGGCTTTTTTCAAGCTGAAATGTCCAAATTCAGGTGCAAGTCAAACTAATGTGAATTTATTGTCCACAGTGGGTTGATCAGGTCTCAGATGTCAGTTATTTTGAATCTTCATCTGTTCTACTTAATTTTAAAAGTCTTTAAAGTATTCTAACAGCATATGGGTCCCATTTGATGTTGTGAAAATGACAGAAGGCATTTATCTATTGTGGTTAGCCTTGATTTTCATTCACTCACTACTATGTAAATATCTCAGTATTTACTGAGAATAATGCTATATATTGATATTTTGTGCAGATTTATATACATGATAATCAGTATTTTAATATTTTTTGTTTTTAACTAATAGAACAAAGTAGAAGAGATGAGGCCAGGAGAGTTGAGAGGGGAAAGAAACAGGGAGCAGGTGAGAAAGTTGCCAGGTTGAGCTTCATTTTCATTCGTTCCTTTGTCCTCATCTCAATATTGATTGAGAGTGATGAGGCCCGAGCAGCGAAATGCTGCAAAGGCCTGGTGGATCTTATTGAATGGATCTTGTCTTATTATTATTCTTTTCTGCCAGAGGTCGCAGATTTGGTGCTTAAACATTTTCAAAAATTTGCAAAATTCTTTGTCATAATTGTCCCATTAAGGGTTTTAATGGAGTCGTTGCTGAACTGAGGTAGGCCAAGCCGTACATAGCAGAAATCTGAAGCTTGATACATAGGTAGATCCTCCTAGATAAGGAAAAAAACTCTCTTGGATGTATGTCCTAAAATGTACAGGGAGGTGGCCATTTTGGGTCAAAGGGCAAATTTTGCCATTTTTCACATTTATACACCTCGAACTTTAATGAACTCCTCTGGGGTATTTTAAGCTATCTGGTTCATTTTTGCTCAGCATGCAGTTTAGTGATGGGGGATTAAAAGTTATCAAAATGTTGAGTTTTTTAGCACACTAAGGGGGCGTGGCCAAGTGGCAAAATTAAACAAAACGTTATAATTTTCTTATAGAAATACTAATTTACACCAAACTTGGTATGAGGCATCCATGTTGGATGACCGACAACAATATGTGGTCATATGCTGACATCATCAAAGCCACACCCCCTCAAAACAGGAAGTCTATTTTTTTTGGAAAGCTCCATCTCTGACCCTCTTGACCTAATCAGGATGATCTTGTGTCAGAAGACGGATAACAAGTGGTCTCACTTTTTTTAAATCACAAAGAGTTTGTGCTGTAAGGCATGGGCGTGGCGAAGTCAGAGGTTATGCCATTGCCATACGTTTGGCTCTGACTTTCACAGATATGAGCTGAGCTGCACCAAACTGACTACGATTGGTCCTAATCCAGTCCAGTACTAGAAGTTTATAAAGCCATGCTTTGACTGACAATCATGGCATTTGTTTCATATGTTTATCATGGCAGGACCAACCAAAAAGTCTCCTGGAGCCATGTCCCAAACCAAGCAGGAAGTCGGCCATTTTGAATCAAAGCTGCCATTTGTCTCTTTCACACATATCTGAGCTAACTTCTACAGCTTTGGGCTTGCAGACTTCTGAATCACTGCTGAGTCAGATGTATTAGATGTGCACAGAGCAGTGCAGGCATAAATTATAATCTGTCAAAAGAACAGATTATCTAATGGCTTTCAGATTTTTCCGTCATTTAAAAACAGAACAAGCAAAATAATCTGTTAATGTAACCCCTGAGAATCATATATAGACTTTATTTTAATATTTTTTTTGTTTTTTGAGTAATAGAACAAAAGAGAAGAGAGCAGGTCAGGAAGACTGAGAGAGGAAAGAAACATGACTCAGGTGAGAAAGCTGCCAGGTGATTTAATGAACATCAAGTCAGGAGATTTCTTTAATGTGATTTTAAATTAACTTTAATTCTTGCAACTTGTCTCACTCAGCTCAATTTTTTTAGCTTGATTTTCAATTTTATGTATTCATCTCAAAATTTTCTGAGAATAATTTTGTCTATTGATATCATAGATTTATATGTAAAGTGATCCCTCGCCATAACGCAGGTCGCCTTTCGTGGTCTCGTTGCTTTGCGGATTTTTTTTGTGCAGTTTTTTTCACAGTGCATTGTGTTCTGCGTCCTGATTGGCTAAACAGTCTCCCAGCTCCTTCTCCACCTGTGTGCCAATAACGTTACAGTATTTAAATATAAGTAATACAGATTGGCCATTCAGGAGATGAAAACTGAAATTTTGAATGCCTGCTGGAAAAAACTGGCCAGAATCAGCGTAAAACCCGACCGGAGGCTTGACGAGATCCATCGTTCTGCCGTAGATCCAGCTGTGAATCTTGCAGGGCAGGTTGGAGGAGACGCTTTAATGCCATGACTCTGGATCACATTAAGGCCCGATTGATGCACACACACATCCGCTCACATGAAAACAGGTTTTGTTCTTTGGTTTTAATGTGGAGTAATTAACTATGCTGTGTAATAACCGTAAAAAATAAAAGTAACTCTACTTCGCGGATCTCGCTTATTGCGGGCTACTTTTGGAACGCACCCCCCACGAAAAACGAGGGATCACTGTACATACTTTATTTTGATATGTTTTTGTTTGGTTTTTTAAGTTGTAGAACTCGGTAAAAGAGAGGTGGCCAAGAAAAGTGAGAAGGATAAAAAAGAGGGATCAGGTGAGAAAGTTGCCAGGTGATTTGACACCACAAAGTGATCATCAGTTCAGGAGATTTTCTTAATGTGATTTTTAAATAAATTTTTATTCAACTCACATTTAGCTCCATTTTCTGAGCTTGATTTTCACTCATTCCTATGTAATGGTCTTAATACTTGCTGAGGATAATTCTATTTATTGATATTATCATAGATTTATAAATACACTGTATTTTAATATTTTTTGTTTTGTAAGTAGTAGAAGCCAGTAAAAGAGAGGTGGCCAAGAAAAGTGAGAAACGTGAGAAAAGAGACAAAAGAGAGAAAAGTGAGAGGGATAAAACAGAGGAATCAGGTGAGAAAGATGCCAGATGGTTTGAGTTGAGGCCACAAAGTGATTTTCATGTCAAGAGATTTCCTTAAAGTGATTTTAAATTAACTTTAATTCAACTTGTCACATTTAGTTAAATTTTTTTAACTTGATTTTCACTCATTCTTATGCAATAATGTCAATATATTTTGAGAAAGGGGCTATATCTTGATATTGTGCATGAATTTATGTATATTTACACTTTATTTTATATTTTGTTTTCTAACTAATAGAACAGAGTGGAAAAGAGGAGGGCAAGAAACATGTGAAACGTGAGAAAAGAGAGAAAAGAGAGAGGGATAAAATAGAGGAATCAGGTGAGAAAGATGCCAGGTGGTTTAAGACAACAAAGTGATTATTAGTTCAGCAGATTTCTTTAATGTGATTTTAAATTAACTTTTATTCATGTAACTTGTCAGACTCAGCTAAATATTTGAGCTTGATTTTAACTCAGTTTTATGTAATTATCTCAATATTTATTGAGAGTAGGGCTATATGTTATTATGAATAGATTTATACATGTATACACTTTACTTTATATTTTTGTTTTCTAACTAATAGAACAGAGTGGAAAAGATGAGACTAAGAAAAGTGAGAAAAGTGAGAAAAGTGAAAAGGATAAAACAGAGGAATCAGGTGAGGCCACAAAGTGATTATCAGTTCTGGAGATTTCCTTAATGTGATTTTAAATTAAACTTTAATTCAACTTGTTACATTTAGCTAATTCTTTTAGCTTGATTTAAACTCAGTTTTATGCAATAATATCAATATTTATTGAGAATAATGCTAAATGTTGATGTTATGTATACACTTATATTTTTGTTTTCTAACTAATAGAACAGAGTGGAAAAGATGAGACTAAGAAAAGTGAGAAAAGTGAAAAGGATAAAACAGAGGAATCAGGTGAGAAAGATGCCAGGTGGTTTCAGTTGAAGCCACAAAGTGATTTTCATGTCAGATTTACTTAATGTGATTTTAAATTAACTTTAATTCAACTTGTCACATTTAGCTCAATTTTTTGACCTCACTCTTATGCAATAATATCAATATTTA